CTCGAGCATGAGCGGAATAGGCGTCTCCAGATGGTGGACACTGCCTCGAAGCATCGAGCTGAGTTTGCCTTTGCTCAGCTTGAGAACGAGAGATCTCTGACATCTCTTCGTGACGAGCTAAGGGTAGCTCGTGGGATTGTTGACCGGTCTCGGGATCAGAAAGCTGCTCTTCAGACCCTTGTTGATGCCCACCATCGGGAGCACAAGGCTCTCTGCGAGATGCTTGAGCGCAAGGGCGTTCTTCATCGGAAGAAGCAGCGTACTGATGGTACGGCTTAAGCCGACCAACGTAAAACGTGGGATGCGTTCGCATCTTACGTGGTAACTCGATCGTGTATGCATTGCCTAGGCGGTGCAATACACGAAATGGGCCAATTTACTTGGGTAGTAGTTTACTGCTACCCAAGTTAGTCACTACATGCTTTGGTAGATTAACCGTAGACAGTAGGACTAAGTCACCTTTATTAAATAAAAGAGTGTTTGCCCTTCCATTCTTGTCAGCGTTTTGCTTTTGCTTATCCACCGCTTCGGCGATGGAGTCTTGCACAAAACGGACTACCGTTTCACGAGCCAGTATGAACTCATCTGATGACTCGTTAGCTTCAGTGTGCTGTGAGCGCACTGCAGCAACAACAACCTTTTCTTCAGTGAGGGCTTCCGCAATCTCACTGGGATCATTGTCTTCGATATCGATGTTATCGATATCGGCATCAAACGCAATGACTTCTTTGTCAGAGCGTGATGAGCGTGAACCAAATCGTTTTTTGCTCGCGCGAGTCCCTCCCCCCCTTAAACCAGAGTTACACTCTAGTAAGGTGGGTACACGCGGATGGCGTAAGCCATTCACGAAAAACGGTGTATGTGTCGTGGACGCATGCACCGAGTTGTTGATGGCAAACTCTACCATTGGCAAAAACTCACTCCAACTCTTAAAGGAGTGTACGTATCCTCGAAGTATCTCTTCAAGGACACGATTGGCACGTTCCGTCTGACCATCTGACTCTGGATGATCAGATGTTGACATCTTCAAGCGCGTTCCGAGTGATTTGAACACGGAACGCCAGAAATCAGCAGTGAATCGTGGATCTCTGTCTGATACGAGTTCACGGGGCAACCCATGAAGTCGGAAGATGGTGTCAATAAAGACACAAGCACAGCCACTTGCCGTGATTGTCTCTGGTACAGCCACAAGGTGTACCATTTTGCTGAATCTGTCAACAAATACGAGAATACCCGTATTCCCGCGTGCGTCTTTGGGTAACCCGAAGACGAAATCCATTGAGATGGATTCCCAGCACTCAGCCGGAACCGGTAGAGGCTGTAAAGGTGCACGCAGTGAAGGACTTGACTTCACTCGTTGGCAGACTTCGCATGCGCGAACATACTTTCGCACAAACTGATACTGGCGGGGCCAGTAAAAGTCTCGACTTACCGTGAGATATGTTTTCTCTCGGCCACGATGTCCTCCTATAGGAGCATCGTGATACTCGAACATGATCCGCAAACGCAGATCAGTATCATCTGGAATGACAACACGTGGTGTGTCACCAGAAACGGCTGTATAATACAGTAAACCGTTACGAGTAGTGTATCGATCTGATGCAGATCGATACGCAGGCGACAATCGTTTCAACGATTCTCGGGATGGTTGGGAGAGATGTGACAACAACTTCACTATCTCACCATCTTGGGCGTATGCCCGCCTCACATCATCATACAACATTGTAGATGGGACTGAGGACGTCATAACCGCAACAGTGACTGTCTCGCTGTTGGGTTTCGCGACTGTTTCAAAGTCGGGACGACGTGAGAGTGCATCAGCGACGACATTAAGTCGTCCTGGTTTGTACTCGACCGTAAAGTTGTATTCCGCAAAGAATGACAACCACCGCGCCATTCGTTGTGAAAGGTGCGGGCTGTTCACTGCCGTGCGTAATGACGCATGGTCAGTGTAAACAACGAAGGGTCTATCTCCTAATAGATAGACTCTGAACTTCGCGAGTGCATACTTCATGGCAAGGAGTTCCTTGTCATGTACTGGATAGTTCCGCTCAGCTGGTTGCAGCTGACGCGACTGATAGCACACGACGCGTTCAACGCCTTCAAGATCGTACTGCATTAATGCACAGCCGATTGCGAAATCGCTGGCATCACAGACCACATGAAATGGCCTGTCCTGATCGGCTATTGCTAGGACTGGGGATTGTATCAAGCTCTGCTTGATACCCTCAAAGGAGCGTTGACATTCAGCGTTCCATAACCACCTCTCGTTCTTTTTCAACAAACGAGAGAGGTGCACAGTCATCTCGGCGTAATTGCGTGAATACTTATGCAAATACGCCGCTAGCCCAAGGAATTTTCGAAGACCTTTGACATCGACCGGCACAGGCCAGTCGGTGATCGCCTTGATCTTTTCGGGATCAGGACGTACACCGTTCTTACCAACGATGCACCCAAGAAGTGGTATTTCGCTTGCTGCAAAAAAACACTACTTGATATTTGCATACAGTTGATGATTTCGCATGATTGTAAGAACCCGCCGGACGTGGTATCTGTGAACCTCAACGTCCGATTTTCCATCCATAGCTCGACTATGGATGAATACGTCATCGAAATAACTCGGCGCGAATTCTCGTACTGGCCTCAACAGATGTGATACACACCTGTTTAACGTGGCAGGGGCATTACTGAGCCCTTGTGGCATTACTAGCCATTCCCAGAGCATGCCACTAGGCGTGCTAACTGCGGTATAGGGTATATCCCGTTCCCGCATTAGGATTTGATAGAAGCCATCCATCAAATCCATGGACGAAAAGATGGTACTCTTTGACATACCATCAATGATTACGTCCTTCCTCGGTATCGGCGTCTGAGCCGGTACCGTTGCAGCGTTCAATTTGTTAAACGCGTGCACTATCCGCCACCCTCCTGTTGCTTTTCGCACACAGAAGGTCGGAGAGCTATGTGGGGAAGTTGATTCCCTCACATGGCCCGCTGCTAAACGATCGGCAAAGAACTTGTCGATCGCAAGTACTTGTTCACGAGGCAGTGGCCACTGCTTCATGACACAGTACTTCGAGCCTGGTTTAAGCTCGACTTCGTGTCGAATACCTTTATCCTTCGGTAATTCGCACGGAACAGTTTCAGGGAATACATCCTTGAATTCAACCAAATCTTCATAGAGAGGATTTTTCTTGAGCGATTCCCATGATTGGGACTCATATCGCTCAATTCGTGTCTTTTCATCTAGGACACTCTCGTCCATAGATGAACTACTGAGAACTCTCTCGTTCTCAGTAAACACTGTTGCTGACCTTATGTCGGTTACACACTCGTCGTCAGCGACGAGTATGCAGATCTGCTTGACTTTGCCACTACGCAGATCACGCAAGAACCTTTTATGTTCGAGCGTTGGCAACTGAGTGATCTCCGAAGTTAACTTCGGAGGCGCAATCAGATCAAGTGTATAAGCGCCTACACATGATCCGTTATTGACTATGACATTCAATGTCTCTGTCATTTCCTGGGGACTTATTCCCTCAGGCTTCGAAGGACTTATTCCTTCGTCTTCCCGGGGACTTATTCCCGCGGGTTTCGGGGAACTTATTTCCGCCGTATTTGTAATCTTGGGACTTATTCCCTTTATTTCCTCTAGCTGGGGTTGCGCAACCACAGCGAGATCCTCTACGAAAGACTCTCCAGTCGATCTAGGATTATCGTTTCGCTTAACCTGAGCGATCGATTGTTTCTCTTCTAGATGTTCCCCTCTAGGGATACATCTTTGTCCCAGTCCACCCGACTCATTCGAGTGGTGGACCTTCGGCGCAGCCTGTGTTTCCTCACAGCCGCCGGAACTTTGCTCCGAAGTGTAACCGTTTGGTACACTAAGGTTTTGTGCAGTCGTACTAACGACCGTACCACAAGTGAGGCCATCGCACTCACTCGTAGTACATCCACACGCTTGTGGACGCTCCAAAACGTTCATCAGATGGCCATCTGATGAACAAGCGGCAGGCATCGTTACTGTCCGATGTTGCCAGTTTACCCGTGGTTCGTACCTTCTGAGCCACGGTATTCCAAGGATGACATCAAATTTGTCATCCAAATCCAATACGATAAAGTCATCGTCATATTGGGTATCTTCTAGCGTATAGCGAATCTTCACTATACGCTTCATGACGGTTACGGATGCGCCTGTCGCAAGACGTACCGTCATCCTCGTGGGAGGTGTGTCACATTCACTGAATTTAAAGTGACCATCTTCTAGCGATTGGCGTCGCACAAAATTGTTAGACGCCCCACAATCGACTAGAGCTCGAAGGGACAACTTATTCGTCACTTCGAGTTTCAAGGTAATGAGTGAGATCTCATTACCTAGAGCAGCAACGCACAACGTCTGTGTGTTGGGAGCAACCTTCATCAAGAGGCCTACAAATTCTCTTGACGTTGCTGGATCAGTAGGGTGCTCCGCACCTACTGATCCTGTCCGTTTTTTGACGGTCCATCCCGTTGTTGCGTCTTTGCACCAACAGAGGACCCTCGTCCCTGCCCCTTTCTCATGGGTGGACGGTCACTACGCCCAGTGTCGCGAGACACTGGACGAGGGGCACTACACTCGTAAGCGTAGTGTCCTGTCTTTTGACATCTGTTGCATCTCTGCAACTTCTTGTAGCCTGTAGAGCGAACCTTCTCGCTCTCTACATAACAGAGTTCCATCGGCTCTGGACCTCCGTTGTCATATCGTCTCGGTTGACGATATGATGTCGAGCTGGCGCGAGCCTGTCTCAGACTGAAGTCTTCCTGCTCCGCAATGGAAATGGCTTGTTCTAGTGAATCTAGTTCAAGCCGGAACAGGTGAGTCTTGACGGGACCATCCGCAAGACCCTGCATGAACACCGAAACCAACGTGTGTTCATCCACTGGATTGGAACTTATACAACTCGTAAGATGTCGTATATGTTGAGTGTAAGCGTGCACATCACGCTTACCCTGCTTGAGCTTCAAGAGTTCGGTTCGAGCCCTGAACTCAGCTCTAGGCGGTTCAAACGTTTGTCTGAGCCGCGACTTGAAGACTTCCAACGACCCAAACGCATATGGGTCGTGCAGCTTGAGCCCCAGTGCCCAAGTCTTGGCACGTCCTGCCAGATTTGATTGGGCAAATGCAACTTGCATATCCCCGTCGTCGATGCGATCGTCCTTATGGCGTCATCCAATTCGACGAACCATCTCAAGAGGGAGTCTTCTTCGACTCCCCTATACTTGGAGATGTCAATCTTCAAAGTCTCGGGTCGACGCGAGTGCATCGACCCGCCAGCAGCAGCCTGCTGCTGTCTCAGTAGTTCAAACTGTTGAGCACCTTGTTCTCTCAACAACTCTGCTTGTTGAGAACCTTGTTGGTGAAGCAAGGCTACTTTCTCGCGTTCAGCGTCAAGTTCATTTTGGATGAACTTGGCGATAGTAGCATGTTGGACGTCTCTATTGAGAGCCTCTAGCATGACGCTAACAGCATGGATGCCCATGGTCGAACCCATTCGTTCAACCGCATCCCATTCGACATCGCTCAAATGGGAGTAGCCGTCACGCGTAGCGTGAAAGCTTTGGTCATCTTCATCATCCAAGATATTCATGTTGGATGTGAACGCGGTCCTTGGACGGACTACGAAGTGCTAACCCTGTCCCAAATGATTTGGGACGAGTATCCATTTAGTCAATCAGTCACTAAAGTGACTGATGGTTAAGGGGGGGTGATGTAACGGGGCACCCTGAAGCTTGTACTGGTGACAGTACAAGCTACTTATTCTGATAACAGAATAAGGCGGTGCCTCGTAACGTCACGTACACTCGTACGTGCAGAGGAAGACGGTAAGAAGAAGCGAGTACTTGGTTAGAGTAAAAAGTAGAACTGTATTTATAATAGTTAATGTCTGCAATAAATCACTATTTATCTTCATCTAACTATGTCTAAATACAAATGTGTAAGTCAATTATCTGCTCACCACTCATTGCGTGCGTCTGTCGTGGCGCGTCTTCGTTGGTTGATATAATGGCCTATATCAACCAATTAGGAACTACTTGTAAGTGCTACAGAATATTTGTCCTTATGACAATATTCTGAGAATATAACTCTTATAGTTATATTCTATTAACAATTTCTTATAAATTGTTATGTAACGATTCACCCCGTTACAAAGGGGGTCTACATAACCCACCTAATGAGCGAACAACTCGCATAGCTGACGCCCATTACGTGTTCCCTATCAGTGCGGCCATAAAATATCTCCTTTAACTCGTATTCACCTTCTTCCAATTTACTTTAAGCACTTTCTTACAACAGTGGGCAAATGTAAAAACCACCCGACATTAGTTCTATCGGGTGGTTCTTACATTTGCTCACTGCTGTTAGAAAGTGCTACTAGGTCAGCTGCGAATCTGCTGTATGGTCGATCAAAGAGATTTCTGATCTGCTTGAGCTTGGATATGTGTACAATCGAAACTAGAAGGTTTTTTTTCCGGGTCTCCAGCAGCGCGGCTTGGTCTCCCACCAGCCCCAGAACATAGAAAGGTCCGTTACAAAGATACACCAGTTTTCTGGCATGGTAAATGAAATTCGGTCATGATAGAGAAATGAAAAGATTCGTGGTCGATTCTTGTAGTCGATACCCCTTCATTCTGCATCTTTTGTTGCACTTATATCTGACTTGTCTCTCGCAAATTTTTTTTTACCTGTTCTCTTAAAATCTGATACCGTCTTTGAATGCGCGACCCCCACCTCACGGGTTCTGACTCCTGATGTCGTTTGTTTGCCATCGGTAGTGTGGTTTCAAGGATGTATCTGATATTTCAACCTTGGACCAGATATCAAAGATGTTTTTTCTTACTCAGATCTGTGCGGTATTAATCGCGAACGTAAATCGTTTTGCGTACTTTTTCCGGTCTTAATGATGCACGCCTACAACAAATAAATTGATGAGTCCGGCTAAAGTCTGAGTCTAACTCTTCACCATACCATAAGCTTGAGGTCGGTACGCCATTTTCACATTTTGATGTTGGCCTACCATACGAATAAATACTAGGAAGATATCAGACATTTATCTCGGACTTGATCGTAAAAGATCGCTTCGATAGCTTCATAATATAGGAAACACACTTCTCGTATTCTTAAGCGAACTTCGGAGATGTCCGCGACGCGCAGGTCTTGTTCCTTTTTAGATCTGAAAAATAAATTAACACCCACATCAATATTTGTGTATTCCTAATTAATGGCTTAGGCAGACACGAAACATGGTCCATTGATATAACTTAAAAAGGGAAAGTCACTTCAAAGTAATCAGGGCTCTTCCCTCATAATTTTTTTTTCTTTTTCCAGTCTCACATTTAATGCAAGAGCCAACATATTTCCGCGCACTCCAAACATCCTTTTCAACGCCTGTAACGTAGTATTTGTTTGTACGTACGTCCAATTTTCCTTAATGAACTCCACAAAGACTCGTCTAGTAGTAATGGGGAAAGTCGGATGAAGACTGTCGTGTACTAGTTTTCTGGGGTCATGTCATGGTTTTTACTTTGACTCTACCTTTTAAAGGTTTGTCAACAATCTTACCTCGCTTACATCACAATCTTTGTACATTTTGCCGCACAATTTAGCTAATCGACCGACAGGTAATTCCAGTATCCTTTTAAAGATGCTTTTACAACTTGTACCCAGCCCTCCTCTTCGTGCGACTTTTAAAATCGTTCCATGCAGAGTCGCGATATTTTTTCCTAATAAATGATCTCACTGGACATCCTAATATGATGATGTGACCGAAATACTGCAATTTGATTGCTCGAGAGGTTTTGTTCTTTCAAATTTACAGCTCCGGTAGATGCTTACTCGCTTCCAAACCTGGCCTTTTTTCCCCGACGATTACTTAATTCCCCTTTTTTGGTGCAAGGCTATACAAGCCAATTGGTCTGCACTCTGATTTCAATCTCATTTTACATGCATAATTCGGTTGACGGGCACGATCAAAGTTTGTTGAAGCCCGTGATTGTAGCGGCGATGGATTCGAGGCCTAGCACTGATTTTCACTTTGTATCTTTTGCACAAATAAGTTTTAAAGTCCACAGAAATTCGTCCGTCGCCACTCCAAAGTATTCCACAAGCTAAATTCATTCAACTTATTCTCAGATTTCGCGTCATTTCTTGGATATGTATAAGATAATCGGAAGGCGGCTTCGACTATATTCTACTTCTGGAGTCTCCATACGATAGCGCTACAAGCCCCACATCCTTGCTTGGCACGGGTTCACCCTGCGAAACTCATAACGTATATTAAATCGTCTAGTTTCACGGTAGGGATAGGTAAGTTGTTCGTCTGCCCCGCCTCCTTCTTAGAAGAAATGGCCGACGGTTTTTAGTCATCACACTCGAGATAAATGACAATGGCTGCCAACGCTTCAGCCTGATCTTCACCTTTCTTACATTAACGATCTTCAGTGTTCGCTGAGACAAGGGAGTGGCCCAGTTTCGTAAGCGTACGAGCAAGCCTATATCAATTAACAATTATGCTCATGTCGAGTGTATTGCCAAAATTCGGGGAGCCTAGTGACTAGCATAGTTAATCAGGTCTTAACTATAAGCAAAAGAGCGTACAATCTTTCTCCACAGTGCTGTAGTTTAGCTTCATAGCCTTAATAATTCTCCTTGTAAAGGTTACCGGCATCTACAGTCCTATATAATCACGTACCAGTGATACTGAAATAACCTAATTACTCGTATGGACAATCATTACGGCTTCTCTGTTTGGGTCGAAGTGTCTCAGAATTGGCGTCGTATCAAAAAAATTCTTGAGCGTGACAAAGGCTACATGAATTCAGGCCTAACTTTGGTCATTTCTATTCCGTTAAGTGGCCTTGTTATTCTTTTTTAATAAATGTCGTCGGTCATGTAAGCCTTTTATATCAAGAAGTATTTTATCAATGCATGCGCGGCGCATTCCTCAATAAATTTGCTATATTGATTTTAGTGATAGATAGTACATGGACTTCAGTGTCATTGGTAAAGGTAGGTCGATCAGAGATTGAATTTTTTTTTGGGTGAACCTAAAGTCCTCCACTGTGTTATCGATGTTCAAGCTAGGCAACACTTAGACATCTACGTGAACGCTTGGCTACTCTGATCGAAAATTTCTATTAGTCGCACACATTTAACTATTATTCCGACTATAAGCGTACGCATCCCACGTTTCTGCGGGGTTTAAAATGTCATCTTTTTATGACCGCTGACCCAGGATCGAGGGGGTTCAATTGCCTATATGGCTTACATACCTAAACATTTTCGGAATAAAATGCCTCTGCTTCTAGATGAATTTAAAACAACCTGCATGAGGCGTTATTTAGGAGTCGTTGAATTACTCGGGGCGCGTTCTTGAGCCAAATTGGCATCCATATCCATTCAAAAAAATCTCAGGGGGTGTTAAACGCCGAAACCCGTCTCGACCTTTTAGTCATACCAACTAGCCAGAGCTAATCGGAATTTTTAATGAGCAATACCGTAGTGCTTTGTCCAGATCTTTCAATTATTCTTAATTAGAGGCATGAAGTAGACCATTATTAGTGTATTAGAGGCAAAAAGTAGACCATTATTAATTTCACTGTTTTGTTGTCAGTGCAAAGCCGGATGTCCCCCTTATTTTTCTTCACAAAAGTAACATAATCGATCTGGCCAAGGGTTACATAGAAGACTGTAAATCTTAGCCGATAAACGGCCGTTTGATCACACCATCCAAAATTTCCCCAAAAAAATGAGCCACCTAATTGGTGCGCTGAACGATCGGCTCTGCATTTCTTACACTAATGTTACATGTAGCCCCTCGAGCTGCTGGTGGTAAGGCTATTTCTTTTCCAATTAACAGATGTATCATCTTTTATAAAAATTGTTGTAGCTTTTCCACCTCTTCTGAAGCGTTCTTATCCGGATCAGGGATATTGATTTTTCCCAACTCTTAAAAATTCGGAGGAACGGTCCACTTCTGGTATATTTGCTCACATCCAGCTTATGTCTACGGCTTACAAGTCTTTAAGTTCGAATGTAAAAACCTCTTCTTCATCATAAGGCGAATTTGACCTCAGCTTCCTCTTCTTTGATACGATATTTTTCAGTTAACCGTCATCAGAGACCCTTCATGCTTGAATATCTTTTCTTGCAGGAGTGCCTCTTCAATGCGTTACTGTTTATTTCTCCATGATGACGGATGGTGTAACGCAATTATCATTGCAACTGGAATATTTGACCGCTGCACAATATCCAATAGGAATTGGCCTTGCGAGTGTCTACCATAGGTGTCTAGTTTTTTCCTTAAAGTCAACATAGAGTCGGCTTGTTTATAAAGAACTCGTACACCAGTTTTAGGCTCGTAGCATAATTTGACAGCTTTTAAGAACAATTTACCATGCTCTTGGTACACGATCCTTCGTCAGTCACATAACAATCTTGTTAATTTCATGTAATTATAACTCGTAATGGCCTAGGTTGGATACCTCCAGCGATTTTTGACTTCCTTCACCCTAAACTTTATCCCTCATCGCTCTCCGTCGTAACCAAATCCTCCGTAAGTTTAGAATTGACCTTTTTCGGGTGCTTCGGCACATTTTCCAATCAGTAAACAACCGTATTATCCGAACTGCACAGTTGCGACTTGAGTATCGCAAACGTCATTGTCCGGCAGGTCGTATCTGGACTTAGTTACGGATACAGAGTATTGTATTCGTCAGATCTAGTCGGATCCCAGCCTGTACAATAACGTCTATTCTTAAGATTGTATCTTTACCTACCAAATGGCCTACCCACACCTTGATCACATACACTAAGTTGTTATAAATAGTGAATTTAATGCAAGTGTGCCCTTTCGTAAAGTATACCGATCGTTCAATGCCAATGCATTCTTATCGTTCTCTTCCGTCAGTATGGCAACATATCTTACGAAAAAAAGGCGATATTTCTAAAATAGATATTTTGGCACCAGTATCGAAAAAATTTGCGCGATCCATTGTGATCTGCCCAGAGGCTAAAGAATGTAATAATTACTTAGTTGGAGCGTTTTTTTTTCATGTATCCTCAGATATATCCAGCAAAAGTTCCAACTCTGTAACTACATTTATCGTAAAATATTATACGATTTATCGAGAGAGACAACAAAGAGCATGGCTATTTTTCAATAGATTACACTTAATCGGCCTCTTATATAGAAAACAACTCTCCTTATTGGGCTAGTTTTTCACGTATGCAAAAGATTGAGCGCTCGACTCGCATCAGATTTAAATCCGAGAAATGTTCTACATTATCGTCTTCCCTGCTATCTCGAGCAACAATTTGCCGTGCTTGTTGAAGTTAAATTATTGGCAATTAAGTTTAAAAAGTTTCCGATCTGGAACTTTTTCGATCGGAGGGTCTATTTGCATCCCTGCAATAAGAAATAAAAAAGCAGCGATCTAGTATTGAATTCATTTCCACAGTGGGTCACAGGTCATTCGCTTCCAGCATCTCAGGTCTCCATTTCTTCTGGACCGCAATGGGTGCATCTTACATTTGACCCGGCCGACGTACTGCGGGTACCCGGGTCTTCAACTTGTTTTAGATGCTAGTTAACCTCTCTTGGGGGGGGGGTTGTCCCTCGCAGTTCTTGTTCTTAGGTTCTTTTATCGCTTCCGCTAGGTAATTTATCTCATTTCTCCCTCGTTATACAAATCAGCCAGGCTAAATTTCTAGAAAATTGACTCATCTACGGTCGCTTAAACTGCATGCACAAAATGGCGGTTTGCATACAAATAGTACGATCGGAAGGCGCAGGAACTTTAATTCGTGACTAACTACTACCAAAGAGCGTCTGGACACAATGTACCTTTGTCTTCTTTCATTTTTATTATACCTACTACAATTCTTCCACGTCTGCCAGGCGCATAGTTAATTGGTCTGTAATGTCTTGTCATCTCCGGTTTCGATAAAAGTCTTGACTTGTTACTTTTCTTCGTACTCAAAACTTCCTGGTCGCCCTCAGAGCACTCACATTTAGACGGGTAAGGTAGTCCTACCGAAATTTGATGACCTCTTCCTCGCGTGGTAGTACTGGCGAGCAACTAGTGTTTCCAGACCACAAAACCTCAGGTGGATTTTTTGTAGCGGATCCTGATAATATCCTTACATGAAGCGGACCTATCAGACGGGCCAGTTACGCACCAACCAGATCAGCTCTCCTCCAAATTACACATTTTGCCATCTTGTGCTTGGTAGTTGGCAAAGTCCTTTTTCCGTGTAATCAAATAACTGCAAGATCGGTCCTCGTCTGGGTTCGACCCTTATACTCTTTGAGGTCCGAAGTTTTAAAGAGCCTGATGCGAAGGACCATGGTAAGTTCCTGTTTCACGGTTAAATTAGCCACCCTCGCTGGGGTTTCCTTTACGTCCAGGTCATTTAGGTCGTAGATGAACGCGCCAACCGAATTCATGTCAACATTCGTCATTGTGGTTATACTTGAGCTTTGAACACTGTCGTCAGACTATTTCTAGTTGTCTCCGGTCGTGATACCTGTCACTCTTCTGTCTCTTCTCAGATATGGCGGATTGATGGCGCTGAGTGTTTTTGTAGATACCTGGCTACCACATCGAAGTAATATTGCAGATAACAAACCGAATCGCTATGCACCTTCTTAATAACGCCGTTGCCACGTGGCGATGATACGATTTAGGGAGGTTTGGGTCGGTCCGCCTTTATGCTAAAAAATAGATTACCGAACGTTTTGGTTGGTCCGCTTTTGGGCAAATAATGGCCTATCGGGAGTTGGCATAGGTATTAGCTGCCCACACATCGCCCCGTCATGAGCAGGTGGTTCCGCCGTCTCATTTCGTGCGCTGTTCGAAGTAATGCGGCGCCGTTAGGTAGTAATATAATTCAAGCGACGTGACCAAGCGTTAAAAACATTGTAAATAGTAATCTGCTGATACTTGTGCACGTGGAAACAGGGTTTTGCGAGATGGCAGTTCAGTCAATGTGGGTCTCAGGTCACAGCTTGTGATGGGATTGAACCTTGATGTCCTGAAAAGCCTTTTGACAGTTTCTATTTGTTCGTAAACACATGCGATGGGAAGAAGGTGGGTCGCGTGAGGTTCATTGCGACAATTATTCCACATGCTTGAATTTCTACAACGTTGTTTTGATACTGTTGAATACCAGCGCAAACACGTCGCTCATTCCAAACCTCTCTTCGTCTATGCCTATTCCCGACAGGAGCTTTACTAGCGCGGCAATTAATTATACATTCTTCCTTATCGCTGAAGGGGGGGGCAATGGTCCGCAGAGCCATTAAAGCGGCCGGATTTACAGAAACGTCATCACCGAATCGCTATTTAGAATCGTGTCAATAATTCATTGGTAGTAGACCATCGTAAATTCGGCGTCTGACCAGGTCATCGACCTCAAGCTTTCGAGGTCGAATAATTAGGTGTCGGGACTTGATTGCCGTAAACTATCAACTTATTGTCGTTTGTGCATTTATTTTGCACTGTTTCGGCTTAAGCGTTTTAAGATTTGTTGTTGGTTCCGAAAATTCAATATTTTGGCTTCTGCCTTCAGCTGTAAAATCTCAAAAGCATGATAGATAAGATGAGCCAAGGTGTCCTCCGCGAGGACTTAAAATGGTATTCACGTAAATCGAAATATTACTACATTGACATCGTTCTTGTAACGGAGTAACCCGTTACATGATATTGAATCCAAACGGAGTCAATGGGTAGATCGTCTAGCGTGACAATTTCCTGCCAATAGTATCCGAGATGGATTAAAAAGAATGAATATTATCCCCTGTTAGGAAGATTACTATTCAGGTGCTGCTTTTAGATTGGTTGATACAAGACATAGCAACCACAAATTAACACCAATCGCTGCTAGACGCGCGCAATGAGTGGTGAGCAGGTTGTCGTCATACGACGACGTAGATTGATTTGATTTAAAAAAAATTGTTAAGTTATACTGATAGCTTACATATATTAAATACAATTCTCTTTACCTTTACTTGACCGAGTCGTTCAAGTAGTTTAGCTTCCTCTGCACGTACTAGTGTACGTAAAGTTTCGTAACACCCAGACAAAGGGTGCCCAGTTACAACTGGTAGCACTTCGTAGTCCATCCAACGACTACTTAGTGTCCGTCAAACGGGAACATGTTGGACGTAGAAGACGACTGCTTTCACGTCACACGTGAAGGCTACTCCCATCTGAGTGATTCAAAGTGGGAAGTAGTCAGCCTCATGAGTGTGCTCAAGGGCGAACCCGCCATCAGTGGCATGTTGGAGTCTCTAAGCATAGACCAGCAAAATGCTGCTATCAACAAGTTCCTACGATGGGAACTTGCCGTCGAAAGACAGAAGGTAGCCTTGCTACAGCAGCAAGGCTCTCATCAGTCGATGAGCGGGCCGACGCGCATGCGTCGACCCGAAACCTTGAAGATAGACATCTTAAGGTACAAGGGGACCGAGGAAGATTCCCTTTTAAGGTGGTTCGTCGAGCTGGACGACGCCATCAGGGCCCGTCACATCGAGGGTGACCAGATTCAAGTCACCTTCGCCCTGTCAAATTTGACGGGACGAGCAAAGACTTGGGCCTGAGGGCTCAAGCTTCACGACCCTAACGTGTTTGAGTCGTTGGACCTCTTAAAGTCTCGGCTTAAAGAGATGTTTGAGCCGCCGAGATCCGTGTTAAGAGCACGATCTGCACTCCTGAGGCTCAAGCAAGGTAAGCGTAACGTGCACGCTTACGCACAACACCTACGCTACCTTGCGAGAAGCGTTACAGAAAATCTGTTGATGAGCACATGCTCATCATCGTGTTCATCTACGGTCTTGTGGATGGGCCGGTGAAGACCTACAAGTTCCGAGAGGACTTATATACGCTGGGAAAAGCGATCGCGGATTCGGAACAAGAAGACTTCAGCCTGATGCATTCTCAGACTTACTCGTCAAACTATCGTCCAACGAGACGGCAGGAAACAGGAGGTCCCGAACCAGTGTACCTCTATTATATTTAGAGCGTGAACTCTCGCTTTCAAAGTAACAAGCGAACGGCACGATGCCATCGATGTCATACGATTGGACACTAAGCATATGAGTGTAGTGTCCCGAGCACTGCAACACGTCCAAAGACAGGACGTGATGACCACCTGTTGGCAAAGGAAGGGTCCGAGGCGTGGGTCAGACCATGTCACTAAACGCGGCAGCAAGTCGGACCGTCAAAAAAAAGGTCAGGGTCTGAAGGGGCGGAGCACCCTGCTGATCTAGCAACGTCCAAAGAATTTACAGGACACTTGACGAAGATTGGTCCCAACACGCAGTCGCTGCGTGTTACTGCCCCTAGTGATAAGGAGTCTGTCATCAATTTAAAGATCGAAGTGACAAGTGGAATGTCACTGCGCGCCCTAGTTGACTGTGGTGCGTCGCACAGTTTTATTTGATGCCAGTCGCTAAGGGATAGTAGTCTCAACTATGTTGAGCGAGAGATCCCTCCAATGAGCATGACGGTGTGCCTTGCTAAAGGCGCTTTCGTAACAGTGAACAAACGTGTAGTGGGAATCCACTACGCGCTAGAAGGAAAGCAATACGATGATGACTTTATCGTATCAGATTTGGATGACATATTAAATGTCTTCCTTGGTCTGCTGTGGATTAGTAAATACCAGTCATGGGTTAGCTGGCAGCATCGATCCGTGAAGATGCCTGCCGTTTGTTCATCAGATGTCCATCTGATGAACGTCTTGGAGCGTTCACAAGCGTGTGGATATACAACGAGTAAGTGCGGTTGCCTCACTTGTGGTACGATCGTTAGCATGACTGCACAAGATCACAGTGTAAAGGGCCACTACACTGTGTAATTAGCTTCGGCACCTGTGTAGATACACAGGCTGCGCCGAAGGTTCACCTCTCGAAGAGATAGAGTGGACTACACCACAGATGCACACCAAGGAGGGTGCATCCGAGAAGATAGGTGAGTGTTGTTTCGGATGAACGACACGTTACAGCAATATATATTGACAGAGAGTCGATCGTAGAGCAAGCCCGCTCGACTGAAAAAGAGTCGACCGAAGAGGACGTGACTGTGGTAGTACAACTATAGTTAGTACACTTATTAGAAAAAAGTCTAGCGCTTTTGAGAGTGATAACTCCCGAGAGATTTATGATAAGGGTGTGGATCCTCAGCCACCTGCGGGTGTGTTTTCCCATTAGATCACCGAGACATCAAATGTCTTGATGAATGACGGATCAAGTGTAGGCGCTTATGCGCTCGATCTGGTTACACTTCCGAAGTCAGCTTCGGAGGTAAGAAAGCTCTCAACTCTAGAACCTAAAAGATTTTTGCGAGACATGCGTTGTGACAAAATAAAGCAGATCTGCGTACTCATCACAGAGGACGAGTACATCGCCGATTTTTGGTCGACACAAGTGTTTGCTGAGAACGAAAGGTTATCAGTATCTCATCGATGGACGATAGTGTCCTCGATATAAAGAAAATAGATTGAGCGATACACGCCTCAATCTTGGGATTCGTTGAAGAGAAATCGTTTGTACAAGAATTTGGTGGAATTTAGGGATTTTTATCCGGGATTTATGCCATGCGAGCTGCCCTAGGAAAAAGGCACTCGGCATGAGATCGAACTGAAGCCTGGTTCGAAATACTGTGTCATGAAGCAGTGGCCACTACCTTGTGAACAGGTAACAGCTGTAGACAAATTTTATGCCGATCGATTAGCGGCTGGTCATGTAAGGGAATCAACATCCCCACACAGCTGTCCGACCTTCCGTGTGCAAAAAGACACAAGAGGGTGGCGAATAGTGCACGCGACAAACAAAATAAACGCTGCAACGGTACAGGCCCAAACGCCGATCCCAAGAAAGGACGTCATCATAGATGGTATGGCAAAGAGTACTATCTTTTTGTCCATGGATTTGATGGATGGATTCTATCAGATCCTCATGCGTGAACGCTATATCCCTTACACAGCAGTGAGCACCCCCAGTGTAATGCTCTGGGAGTGGCTAGAGATGCCACAGGCGATAAGTAACGCCCCCGCAACGTTTAAAAGATGCGTTACGAATCTGTTGCGATAGGTCCGCGATTTTGCACCGAGTTACTTCGACGATGTCTTCGCCCATAATCGAGCTATGGATGGAAAGACGGACGTGGAGGTTCATAGAATACACGTCCGGAAGGTTTTTACTCCATAGCGAGAGCATCAGTTGCTCGAGAACCCCAAGACGTGTAAATTAGCAGCGATAGCAATACCACTTCTTAATTGTATCGTGAGTAAAACGGTGTACGCCCTGATCCGGAAAAGATCTAGGTGATCAGCGACTAGCCTGTGCCAGTCGACGTCAAGGGACTTCGAAAGTTCCTTGGCTTAGCGACGTACTTGCAAAAGTACTAGCACATTACGCCGAGATGACCGTTCATCTCGCTCGTCTACTTAAGAAAAACGAGAGGTGGTCGTGTAGTTCTAAGGGTCGACACTCCTTCGAATGTATCAATAAAAGCTTGATGCAATCGCCTGTGTTGGCGATTGCAGACCAGGACCTACCATTCCGTGTGTTCTGTGACGCCAGCGATTATGCAATCGGCTCCGCGTTGATGCTGTACGACTCAGAAAGCGTTGGGCGCGTCATCTGTAATCAATCTCGTCAGCTGCAAGCAGCTGAGCAAAATTACCCGGTGCATGACAAGGAACTCCTTGCCCTGAAATATGCAATGGTCAAGTTTCAGTTATATGTCTTAGGAGATAGGATCTTCATCATTTGTACCGACCATGCGTCATTACGGACGGCCGTAATTAGTCCAAACATCTCAAAACGAATGGCGAGGTGGCTGTCTTTCTCCCCGTAGTACAACTTCTCCGTCGAGTATAAACCAGAACGACTTACTAACGTCGCCGATGCTCTTTCGCGTCGGCTCGATTTTGAGCCGACCGCTCAACCCAACAGCAGGGGTGTTCCCACTGTCGCAGCACTATCAGTAAGTGTTCCGTCAAATCTGCTCGACGATGTGCGGAAGGCATACGCAAATGATAGGTCTCTTCTGCGATTAATGGATTATGTAGCCAATCCATGCAGTCAAGCTTTAAAATAGCTCGATGTCGCAATGCCGCTCTTCAAATGAACGAATCGGTTCGTGATGGACTTCTGTACTGTACAGAAGTCAACGGCACCTCACCTCGTGTCGTCCTTCCGGCTCAAAATGATTTGCGATTGCGCGTCATGTATGAGTGTCACGACACCCCAACAAGTAAGTATAGAGGTAGAGAAAAGACTTACATCACGGTAGTTCGTGACTTCTACTGGCCCCGCCAGTATAATTTTGTGCGCAAATGCATTTGTACTTGCGAAGTTTGCAAAAGGGCGAAGCCTAGTCCTTCATCCCATGCACCCTTGCAGCCTCTTCCGATTCCGGCAGAGTGTTGGCAGTCCGTATCGATGGACTAAGTCTTTGTTTTTCCCAAAGACGCTCACATGAATACTGATATTCTTATGTTTGTCGATCCTTTCAGCAAGATGGTACATCTTGCTGCTGTACAGGATTCAATCACAGCCAGGGCTGTGCTCTTGTCTTCATCGATACTTTCTTCCGACTTCACGGTTTACCCCGTGTCCTCGTGTCTGAAAGAGACCCCCGATTCACAGCCGAGTTGGTTTAATCCGTGTCTGTTTACTTGGAAACGGTGATGGTGTCAACTTATGACCATCCAGAAACAGATAGTCAGACAGAACGAGTCAACCGCATCCACGAGGAGATTCTTCAAGGTTATGTCTACTCCTTAACGAGTTGGAGTGAGTTCTTGCCGATGGCGGAATTCGCCGCCACTAACAACTCGGTGCATGCAACGACAACGCATACACCGTTCTATGTGAATGGCCTCCGCCATCCACATTTATTCGCCTTATTAGAGTGTGACTCTAGTTTAACGGGTGGCGTGAAACCGCCCGAACAAAAGCCGATCTGTTTCTTGCTCATTGCACGTCGACAATGGTGTCGACGTGATTTAAGGCGATGTCGATGCGATCGACATCGATGATGATGATGCTGGTGTACTCAGTAGCGCCAACGACTGCCAAAGTGAGGACGATGACACCCTCACTGTTGAAGACAACGTGCCTTCAGCAGTGCACTCAAAACGACTGTTATTATCAAGGATGAATCAGCAAATGAACTGCTGCTGACTAGCAAAGCGGTTATACGTTTCGTTCGCGACTCTTTTGCAGATTCACTAGACAGACAGAAACGGAAATAGACAAACATGGAATAGCTTATTTTCTTTTACGTGATTGAGGGTACCTAGTTTTACTGTCTACAGTAAATATTCAAAACACGCATTGACAAATGTGGGCAGCAGTAAACTACTGCCCAAGTATTTCGGTCCATTTCAGGCGTTGCGCCGAACGGGTAACGTATACACGATTGAACTGCCCCGTAAGATGCGTACGCATCCTACGTTTTGCGTCGGTCGTCTCCGCCCGTACTATCATTAAGAGCTCGTTTCGAGATGCGAAGAACACCTCCGCGGTCGAGAGCCGAGACCACCTTCGAGAGGTCCCGTTTCAACAAGCCAGTCTGGTCGACTAGCGAA